AAATATTTTTATTTCATATTTTTCTTATAATGAATGAAGTTCAGCATCTTTTCACATATTCAAGAGCCATTTGTATCTTTATTTCTATCAATAGTCCTTGTCCTTTCTTATTTTCTAATTGATTTATAAATATGCTGTAGTATATATTAAAGAATCCTTTGTGATAATATATTTATTGTTTTTCTTAAAATTTTATCATGCTTTTATTTTTCACCTATGTCTTAAGAATAAAATTGTTTTTTCTCCTAACTAGTGTGGTTGAGTGCCTTTCTCGGTGTTTTTGATTATTTCCATTTTCTCTTCCACATATTGCTTCTTGAAATCCTTTGTTTTCTCTTAGATTATCTTCTGTTATCTAGAAGTTCTTTTTAAATTAGCAATAGTATCTCTTTGTACTGTTATATTACAAAAAGTTCACCACCTTTGTCACTAGTCTTTTTAAATGTTATGGTGTCTTTCTTATTTTGTAACAGCTTTATTAAGATGTAATTCACATACCATATTAGACCCATTTGAAATGTACAATTTAATGGCTTTAGCATATTCTCAAGAGTTGTGCAACCATCACTGCAACCGTTTAAGAATGTAGTCATCATCACAAAAAGAAACCCAGTACTCACTGTCTGTCACTCTTAGTCGTTCATTATCACCCAGTTCCAAGCAACGACTAATCTATTTTATGTATTCATTGATTTGCCTATTCTGGACATTTCATATAAATGGGGTCATATAATATGTGGTCATGTGTGACTGGCTTCTTTGACTTAGCATAATGTTTTCAGGATTCATCCATGTTGTAATATACATCAGTACTTTATTCCTTTTAATTGCTAAATAATATTCTGTTGCATGTATAGTCCAAATTTTGTTTATCCAGTCATGATTTGATGGACATTTGGGTGGTTTCCACCTTTTGGCTATTATGAATAATATTGCTGTGAACACTGATGTACAAGTTTCTGTTTGGATTTTTTTTGTTTTTGTTGTACTTGAAATATAGCTAGAAATGAATTGCTGGGTCAAAGGAGAACTTTATGTCCAGCCTTTTAAGGGAATGCCAGATTGTTTTCCAAAGCAGCTGTACCATTCCACATTCCCATCAGAAATGTATGAGAATTCTAATTTGTCTACATCTTCAACAATACTTGTTATTCTTGGATTGTTATAACCATCTTAGTATGTATAAAATGTTAACTTATTGTGGGTTTTTTTTTTTTACCATCTTAACCATTTTTTTTTTAATTGTGGTAAAAACGTGTCACATAAAATTTGCCATCTTAACCATTTTTAAGGTATGGTTTGGTAGAGTTATGTATATTTGCATTGTTGTGAAACACATCTCCAGAACTTTTTCTTCTTGCAAAACTGAAACTCTATACCCATTAAACAGCTCCCTTCTTTCCCTTCCCTCCTAGCACCATTCTGCTTTGTCTCTGTGAATTTGACTACTTTAGATAACTCATTAAATGAAATTATACAATGAATGACTGCTTATTTCTCCTAACATAATGTCTTCAGGGTTCATCAATATTGTAATATGTGGCAAGATTTCTTTCCTTTTTAAGGCTGTATAATATTCCATTGTATATATTTACCATATTTTATTCATTCATTTGTCTCTCAGTGGACATTTGGCTTGCTTCCCTCTCTTGGCTATTGTGACTAATGTTGCCATGAACATGTGCATGCATCTCATAATGATTCTGCTATATATTTTTCTGATGGCTAATGATATTGAACATCTTTTCATGAGCTTATTGGCCATCTGTATATCTTCCTTGGAGAAATACCTATTCGGATCCTTTTCCTGTTTGTCAGCTGGGTTGTCTTTTTATTATTAAAGTTTAAGAGTTTTTTTATTGTTACATCTTTGTCAAATATATGTCTTATACAGGGAGGTAAACTCTTAACTGTATTTTTTTTTCAAGTAGCCAATTATCTAGTACCGTTTATTGAATAATCCATCTTTCTTATTTATTTATTTATTTGAGACAGGATCTCCCTCTGTCACCCAGGCTGGAGTGCAGTAGCATGATCTTAGATCACTGCAACCTCCGCCACCCAGCTCAAGTAATCCCCCTGCCTCAGCCTCCTGAGTATCTGAGACCACAGACGCATGTCACAACATCTGGCTGGTGTGTGTGTGTGTGTGTGTGTGTGTGTGTGTGTGTGTGTGTGTGTGTAAAGATGGGGTTTCTCCATGTTGCCCAGGCTGTTCTCAAACTACTGAGCTCAAAAACAGTTGACCTGCCTCAGCCTCCCAAAGTGTTGGGATTATAGGCGTGAGCCACTGTGCCTGGCCTGAATAATCCATCTGTTTTCCTCTTTTGACAAGTATTTATTGAGCAAATATGTTGGGTGAGACCCTGAGAAAATAAGGATAAAATGACGCAGAGCAAACATCTGTGTACAAAGACACAGATGTATAAATAAGTGGTTTAAATGAAGGCTTATGCAAATCATTTTGGAACAGTTGGAAAAGAAGTACCACTGTCTACCTAGACTTCAGGGAAGAAAGATAATAGGAGAGTGGGAAGTCAGGGTTTTCGTGATAAAAGAGTGAGGCAGTGTGCTGAGGTAGGAAATTTAAACGTTGAAAACTACTTGCAAGTGTAAAATATTTATTTCACTATTTACTCAAATTGTATTTAATATAAATATTCTATAGTAAATGAACAGGTATTCTCTTCTGTGATGAAATATATGATGCTTATTTCTTGGTGCCTTTTACATTTCCTACTCTGTGTGTTAATCAATTTAGGCTGCTGTTAATATAAAAAAATGCCTGACTAGGTATGGTGGCTCATGCCTGTGGCAGGATCCCACTGAGGCAGACGGATCACGAGGTCAAGAGATGGAGACCATCCTGGCCAACATGGTGAAACCCCGTCTTTACTAAATATACAAAAATCAGCTGGGCATGGTGCCATGTGCCCGTAGTCCCCACTACTCAGGAGGCTGAGGCAGGGAATCACTGAAAAACTGTTCTTGTGTCAGTTTGCTGAGAATGATGATTTCCAGATTCATCCATCTCCCTACAAAGGACACAAACTCATTGTTTTTGATGGCTGCATAGCATTCGATGGTGCATATGTGCCACATTTTCCTTGTCCGGTCTATCATCTATGGGCATTTGGGTTGGTTCCAGGTCTTTGCTATTGTAAACAGAGCTACAGTGAACATACGTGTACATGTGTCTTTATAATAGAATGATTTATAATCCTTTGGATATATACCCAGTAATGGGATTGCTGGGTCAAATGGAATTTCTATTTCTAGGTCCTTGAGGAATCACCACACTGTCTTCCACAGTGGTTGAACAAATTTACACTCCCACCAACAGTGTAAGAGTGTTCCTATTTCTCCACATCCTCTCCAGTGTCTGTTGTCCCCAGATTTTTTAATGATTGCCATTCTAACTGGTGTGAGATGGTATCTCATTGTGGTTTTGATTTACATTTCTCTAATGACCAGTGATGATGAGCATTTTTTCATATGTTTGTTGGCTTCATATATATCTTCTTTTGAAAAGTGTCTGTTCATGTCCTTCGCCCACTTTTGAGTGGGTTTGTTATTTTCTTTTAAATCTGTTTTAGTTCTTTATAGATTCTGGATATTAGACCTTTGTCAGATGGGTAGATTGCAAATTTTTTTTCCCATTCTGTTGGTTGCCAGTTCACTCTAAAGATTGTTTCTTTTGCTGTGCAGAAGCTCTGGAGTTTAATTAGGTCACATTTGTCTATTTTGGCTTTTGTTGCCAGTGCTTTTGGTGTTTTAGTCATGAAGTCCTTGCCTATGTCTACGTCCTGAATGGTATTGCCTAGGTTCTCTTCTAGGGTTTTTATGGTGTTAGGTCTTATGTTTAAGTCTTTAATCCATGTGGAGTTAAATTTAGTGTAAGGTGTCAGGAAGGGGTCCCGTTTCTGCTTTCTGCACGTGGCTAGTCAGTTATCCCAACACCATTTATTAAACAGGGAATCCTTTACCCATTGCTTGTTTTTGTCAGGTTTGTTGAAGATCAGATGGCTGTAGATGTGTGGCGTTTCCTCTGAGGCCTCTGTTGTGTTCCATTGGTCTGTATCTCTATTTTGGTACCAGTACCATGCTATTTTGATTACTGTAGCCTTGTAGTATAGTTTGAAGACAGGTAGCTTGATGCCTCCAGCTTTGTTGTTTTTTCTTAGAATTGTCTTGACTATGCAGGCTCTCTTTTGGTTCCATATGAAATTTAAGGTGGTCTTTTCTAATTCCGTGAAGAGGGTTATAGGTAGCTTGATGGGGATAGCGTTGAATCTACAAATTACTTTAGGCAGTATGACCATTTTCACAATTGTCTGCTTTATTATTAAAGAGATCACTTCACCAAAAGTGGTAGAAATATGGTTATATTTCAGAACTCATGTTATTTAGATAAAGATTGTTCAGATATTTTAACTTCTTTTGCTGACTATAGAATAAATGTATCATTAAGTTATTTTTGTGTATTTATTGTAGAGTCATCAATTGTTTTACAGTTATGCCCTCTATAATATTTATCAAGGGTACCCAAAATCTTTATCCCAGAATTACATAAATGGAAAAAGTCTAGTTTGAGATATAAAGTTCTGAATGTTTTATTTGTTGTTCTTAGTATACATTTTAGTTGGTTCTCATTTGGCACCCCCCTGTCAGAATCTAAGTCATCCTTGGAATTTAGTTAAGTAATTGGAAAATAGAACCAACAGGTTCTATTATAGGTATGGCATGATATAATCATAATTAATCTCACCTATATAGTTCACAAAATGGTAGCATCTTGACAATTTAATAAAGGCCTTGAAGTATTAGTATAAAGTGAACTACAGAACTTTAATTTACCCAGATCTACAGAAATTGAATTGGTTTCTGCTTGTGATTATGAATCAATAGAGTATATTAATGGATCTTAGGTAGAAAATTAGAGCTCACTTTAAATATAAACTTATAATAGTGATAATTGCCTGTTCTTTATTTTTCCACAGTTCTTAGTGGTCTGTGTTCTAATGACTGTCCTCGTAAGATAACAGTAAGTAAACTTAACTCTGTTATAAATGTGTCTGAAAATTCGCTGCATAAGTAGACACACACAAAATAATTGTTATATATTATAATCAAAACATTATTACTATTTGGCAGTGATTAAAGAATCCTTCATTACTCAAGAAAACTCCTGAAAATAAAGTACCTTTCCTAAAAAATGTCTTACCTGAAGAGTCACCTTTATGAAGCATTTTTGATATCTTTAGAAGAAAGACTACCCCTCCAATTATTTTAAGACATTTTGGCATTTATAATATTTCATTATACTTGTTTAGATTAGATGCCTCTCCCCGCAAGGCTGTAACCCCTGAGGTCAAGAACCATAGCATCCTGTATAGCTGATATAGGTCACAGAACCAAGCATATAGTAGGCAGTTAATGACTTTTTTGTGTGTAGTCTTAATATTGACCTGTTGTCTAATATAATGTTTCAGTGAAATAACAAATGTGAAAATAATTAGGCTTAGTTTTTGACAAAACCAATTCATGTAAACTATAATAAGAATATTGTATTATATTTCAAAGCATGCAAGTGTTTGTGTGTGTGTATAGGGAACTGTTTGGGGTCTTTGTGGTAAACCTTGTTTCATGAGAAATTAGCCCCTATTTAAAGATAAGGAAACTGTGACTCAGAGAAGTTAAATTATCAAAAATCGTGGAGCTATTAAGTAGTGGAACTGCAATACAAACTAGGTGTTCTGATTATGATCTCATATTCTTACAGTGTCATTGAACATTAAATTGACAATATTTTATGTATAGTGGGAAACTTCCCATATTTAAGAAGTGTGGAAACAGACCCTGACATAGGGTTATAATATAGACTCAAACTGGGGGCAACCCCTCTGAAGCAATGAAGAACACAGCAATGGCAGAAGGAGAAGATGCATGGTGAGCTCTGGAGCTAGGATGATCCTTCATATGTGGCCTGAATTGAGCCAGAGGGGCCAGGCCTTTGAACTCTTGCATCAGTCACACATCACATCCAGACAGGCCACCAGAAAGGTGTTAACATTTATATGAAGCAGCTCCCTTTGGCTAAGAACAATCTCCAGCCAACACAAACCAGCTCAGGGAATAAGTGTGTAGGTCCCGAAGAGAAGACCTGAATGAGGCACCACTACTGTCACAGCAGCATGCATGTGAATGTTTTGGTCCAACCCATATACTTTTATGCCACTGTAAAACTGTGAATGGGATTCATCAGCCTAAAGATTAACTTGGTTATTCAGGTATTGTCTATCCACTTTGTGAAACATTCAGACCTATGTTCTTCCCTCTAACTAACCATATCTCCATTCTGTGGCTCTTTCATTACATGGTCAGGCAAAGAACTTTAAAAAGTTGTGGTTGAAACCACTCATTTTACTTAGAAGTTCTAGATGAAAGTTTGATAGTAAGGGCTGTATAGCCAAAGCAGATAACACTTCTAAGATCCATAAGGCTTCCTGTCACCTTATCTTAAAATATTAAGCCACTTCTATCTTAGAGTGAACAGAATCATTTCGAAAATCACGTAAGTAAAGTCCAACATGCAGAGCTGCCTTTACAATGATTACCTTTACCACCCAGCACCTTTGGGCTTTTGTGCAGATAGTACATCTGCCTCCCATTCATTCATTTTGACTTTCTTTGAATTAAGATCCTGTTGAGCTACCCTTCATATATATCATTTTCCTTCTCTATGATATTTTACTGATATCATAGATCACGATTTTACTGCCATGTAAACAGATGCACAGTGTACTCATCCAGTATCACAACTGTCAAATATGTATGCCCACTTGTGTAATTATTTACTTCTTGAAAAAGTGGTTCTTCATATTCCTTTGACATCAGATCAAAGTAGAAAGTGTTATATTGAGTGAGCCCCAGAGTGAGACTGAGAGAGAAAATGTACATCCCATATAGTATTCTTTACCACTTGAGTTAATTCATTTGAATAGCTCTTCTGCTGGTTGTGTGTTCTCTCTGGTGCAGGCAGACTACCAGGTATATAGAAAGAGGAAACAGTTACTCAGCTCATGAACTGATCCCACCCATATTCCTTCATCTCCATTTTGAAAACTTCAGAGTGTTTCATTCATATACAGTTGTAGCTATTCATTCCCATGGCCATAACCTGGACCTTATCTACCAGAATGGTTTCACTTCTGAAACCCCAATTTAATTTATCCAACTCTGATCACACCCTATTTTCCAGCCCTTCCACTCTGTTACTCTAATTATACCTGTTCCACTTTAAAACCATTAGTCTCTTGACCTGTATCAGCTCACCATTGTCTTTGCCCACCTCCTTATTTAGTTACCATACATCAACATTACTTCTGCTAGTCCCTTAACTCCTATAAAGCACTGAGTTTCCACTGTACCTGTCTGGGAAAATTTCAACCCTGGGTTAGTCCAGCTATCTCTTATTTCCTCCTATGCCTAGAATACGGGGCATTTCTGAAGAAAAACCTATAACTCTGTGTCTTGGCACTACCCCAGTGTATTAGTCTATTCTCATGCTGCTATGAAGAAATACCCAAGACTGGGAAATTTATAAAGAAAAAAGGTTTAATTACTCACAGTTCTGCATGGCTGGGGAGGATTCAGGAAACTTTTACAATCATGGCGGAAGGCACCTCTTCACAGAGCAGCAGGAGAGAGAATGAGCACCAGCAGGAGAAATGCCAGGTGCTTATAAAACCATCAGATCTCCTGAGAACTCACTCACTATCAGGAAAACACCATGGGGGAAACCGCTCTCATGTTTCAGTTACCCCCCACCGGGTCCCTCCCGTGACGTGGGGATTATGGGAATTACAATTCAAGATGAGATTTGGGTGGGGACACAGCCAAACCGTATCACCCTAATTCATGGCAACCTCAAATGAGCATTTTTTATTGTATCACAGTCTTATATGGAATCCCAGTCCTTTTTTTTCTTCCATTTCTTTTTTCTGGCTTCTTTCAAGATTTTCTCTTTGTTTTTTATTTTTTGCAGTTAGAATACAATATGCTTGGGTATAGTTTTTTTTTTTTAGTATTTATCCTCCTTGGTGTTCTCTGAGCTTCCTGGTTCTGTGGCTTGAGGTCTGTAATGAATTTTGAAAATTGCTCAATCATCATTACTTCAAATATTCAATTTCCTTTCTCTCTTTCTTCTTCTTGTATTCCTACTAAATGTATTTACAACTTTGGCATCTTCAAGCTTAACTGATTCTTTCTTAGGTCTAGTCTACCAATGAGTCCATCAAGGCATTCTTCATTATTACAGTATTTTTTATTTCTATTTCCTTTTGATTGTTAGTTTCCATCTCTCTGCTTACATTAACCATCTGTTCTTGCATGTTGTCTGCTTTTTTCCATTAGCACCCTTAGCATGTTAATCATAGTCATTTTAAGTCCCTGGTCTGATAATTCCAAAAATGTCTGCTATATATGAGTCTTGTTTTGATACTTGCTTTGTCTCTTCAGGTGTTTTGTTTTGTTTTGTTTTGTTTTGTTTTGTCTTTTGCCTTTCAGCATGCCCTGTCATTTTTTATTGAAAGCTGGATACAATGTGTTAAGTGAAGGTAACTGAGGTAGACAGACCTTTACTGTGGAATTTTAAGGTTTATCTGACTAGGAATTCGGCTGTATTTACTGTTTGCAGTAGCTGTTGTGTCAGAGGCAAATATTTCCTTTAGTGTCCTTGTTTTTGTCTCCTCTGGGGTGTTGGTTTCCCAACAGACTCCTTCTTAAATAAAAGATGATGCTTGTAATGCTTTGGGCTTTAGTTCCCTGTTATACAGGAGCCCAGTTGATGAAGTTCTGGGATAGGAAAAATGTTCTGTCATCCTGTCATTAGGGCTTACTCTTTTAGTGAGCTTGTGTCCCTGGGCTATGACCTTCACAAGTGCTTCTCAGCTTCTCTGTCTTCTTAGGTGAGACAGGAAGATGAGAAGGAGCTGGAGTTGAATATTTCCCTTTTCCCAGGTCATTTAGGTTTTTGTTAAACCCAAGTCAATTAAGCTCCAGTAAAAGTTTTCTTTGAAGGCAGGTTGTTAGGGAGAACAGAGAGCTGTGGGCATATTTCAGAACGGTTACTTTCTCATGCTGCTGCTGGAAACATGAAGGTATTTTTCTCCAGTCTTCACAGTGAGAATCTAGTGGAATTCCTGGAAGTCAAACTCACAAAAGTGTAAGTGTGAGGATTCCCCCTGTCCCAAACCCTTGGAGTTTTGAACACTCAGGCTAGTCTACACTGAGCCTCCAACAGTTTTTCTGTTAAGTCTTCCTACCTGTATTGGCTCCATCTTTGATCTTCTCCTCTTGGGCTTCTGCTCCTTGTAAGCTGTGTCTCTCTTTCCACCTGTCTGTCTCTCCAGTTTGCAGTGTAGTGGTTTGTCCTGTGACCTTGGTTCTCTGAATGATCTAAGAAAAGTTGTTGATTTTCTGTTTCTTTGCTTTTTTCTTGTTATGAGAACTAGAGTGACAATGTTAAAGAACTTTACATGTCGGACTGGAAACTGAAAACTCTTCTTGCATTTATTAGTTTTGCTTTAAGGTTTTTTTGTCCATTTTCATAGCTTTTATCAGTGTATCTTCCTGTGTGTCATGTATTGCTCTTTATCTTGTAATTTTTTAGCTTTTTAAAAATTTGTAAACATCTAGAAAAATATGAATTAGTATAATAAAACTCCTTGGCTGGGCATGGTGGTTTATGCTTGTAATTCCAGCACTTTGGGAGGCTGAAGCAGGAGGATCACTTGAGCCCAGGAGTTTGAGACCAGCCTGGGCAACATGGTGAAAGCCCATCTCTACAAAAAATAGAAAAATTGCCTGGGTGTTGTGGCGTGCACCTGTACCGCAGCTACTCAGAAGGCTGAGGTGGGAGAATCACCTGAGCCCTGGGAGGTTGAAGCTGCAATGAGCCATGATCATGCCAGCGCATTCCAGCCTAGGTAACAGAATGAAACTGTCCAAAAAAAAAAAAAACCAAGAACAAATAAATACATA